TGTATACATATAATATATATATACGTATATACGTTTATGTTAATTTTTTTTCAGCTACTGGTAAACCCACAAGCGAACCCGCGACTGAACCAAGTAAGTTGAAATATCTTATTCACCTGCCATTATTCACATTAAGATCTAATATATATATATATATATATATATATATATATATATATATATATATATATAAATAATAAATATATATACTTATATATATATAAATATATATATAATATATATATATATATATATATATATATATATATATATATGTATTTACGGTTATGTTTAAATTTTTAGCTACTGCTAAACCCACACCCGAACTCGTCACTACGGCTAGATAGATCTTCTTTCTTAAAAAATTTTCTGTTTGCCAGTTGATTTTCTTTTCCCGAAGAGATACCTGGGAGGAACCCCGACCACGTCTGCCCTTTTGACCTTGAGCACGCTGAGCTCCTTTTTCTTCTCTACATTTTTGGTTTCAATTAGTTGTGCCTTGTAGGGTGAAGCAGTATGACTGTAGACTGACAAGCCTTCCGCTTCCTAGTTAATGACTGCTTTTTAATTTTCGGGATAGGACATAGTGCACAGGACTTAATGCGTTCAAGTAGCTAATTTTTTATGATGTTCTACATGGTGGTGGAGTCAATGCCAAAGATGTTGACGATTTACCTGCCAGTGCTGTAGAAGATGTCGATGGCTCGCCTTATGTCAACGGTTTCATTCAAACAAGATGATGGCTTTTTGTTCACTTCTTTAATATAATTTGCATCTGAGAACAAATGCATGTTAAGAGGGTATATCTGTTTAATGTTTAGTGGAATTACCGACAGAGCGGAGTACATTGGAAAATTTGGAATGCTGAGGATCTGCTTTGGGTCGGAGTCCGAATTTAGGCACTTCCTGCTCTTAATCCATTTTGTTCTTCACATTCAAAAGGACGGTATTCTTCGCATATGCGTTTTTTTATAATTCTCCCATATATTCTGCTAAGCATGCTTGCAACAGTTACACACCGATAGTTATTGCAATCTTCCTTATTTTCTTTTTTATGGATAGATGTAATCCATCCTTTTTTCCAACTTTGTGGCACTGGTTCTCACGTGCAAGTGCCTATTGAAAACTTCTGTTAGTATCTGGAATAGTTGGTTGGTTCCATTTTTTATTAACTCTTCATATATCCCCTCTGGACCCGAAGCACTTCCATTTTTTAATAATGATACAGCTATTTTAGATTCTTCGATGTTCATTGTTGGTGGGTTTCCTTGAATCAGGACTTCATGTTGTTCTGTGTTTTTGTATTCCGGTCTTTCTTCTACTAACAGTGTTTTATAGTGTTTTTCCCATTTTTCGGGCTCTATAGCGTGTGTGGCTATTTGTTCTGTTTTGTTGGATCTGATGTTTTTTATAAACCTACAAGACATTTTCTCTCCCAGCTTTGATTTTTTGACTCTATTAGCGTTGATTTAAATTCATTTACTATTTCTCTATATTCTCTTTTGTGTTCTTGATCCTTTGTTCCCAGCCATCTGTGAATGGCTGGGAAATGAATAATTTTTGCTTTTGTTCTTTCATTTCCTGTAGTTCATCATTCCACCAATTATTTGTCTTTCTGAGTTTATTTACTCTTATGCCTAATGCTTCTTTCGCCGCTTGATGTATTCCTTGTCTTATTATTCTATGTAACTTTTCTGTTGTTTTATGTTTGAATTCCTGTGATAGTTGTTGCTTCAATTTTCTTTTTATACAATTCTCTAGTACTATCGTTGTGTAAATTTGTTAGATTATACTGCAGTTGTTCAACTTCTACTGAGTGAATTAATTGCTATTTAACTGGGAATAAGCCACAGTTAAAGATAAAAATACATTTATTGACTGAAAGGAAGGATTCTACTTTCTCTATGTACTGAATTTGTTCTAAAATTATAACTCAATTTCCCTTATCAGCCTTGCTGAGTACTAGAGAATCTCCATCTATTTTTCGTTTAACTAATTTTAGCAAATCCTTTTGTTTTTAAAAAAATGGTGATTTGTCAGTTTGTCACACCTTCTATTAGAGCGTTCAGCTTCACTGCAAATCCTCTCAGCATCGAGTCATTTAACCTAAAATTCTGACAAGAAAACTTAAGACCTAATCCTAAAAAACACAATTCCTTCTGTGAAAAGTTGGTGTTACTTAGATTTAAGACTCTAGGGTGAAATTGGTGATCTGAAAATTTATGTATAAGATTAATTACTATTTAACTGGGAATAAGCCACAATTAAAGATAAAAATACGTTTATTGACGTTTCAATTTCCACTTCGGAAATCGTTCTCAAAATACAAACAGTAAATTAAACAAATTTTGTTTTTTGTTACATAGTGAAAAATTCTTCTAATAATTTAATTTTATCTGACTCATTTATATTGACAATTCAGACATACATTATTCATTTTAAAAAGTAGATGACTTTAAAATGATATTGCCAATATTGTTGAGTTGCGCTCTGGGACGACTTTACTTATAGATAGTTCATTCGATTACATGAAATCAACTTTGCCTTGAAAATATCCGTCACAAAAAAATCATGGCATTTAATTCGTCTTTAAAAAGACAAACACATGACATATTGACAGTAAAATTCTCCTTTTAGTGATTCCATAGTAAATTATGAGGGAAAAACTAGGAAAAAAAACCCTCATAATACTATCCGGACATGGTAAGTATTTGTTCGTGTAATTAGTTTACCTTCAACACCAAAATTCTGATTTTATATGTTTCGTTATTTAAAAAACATAAATGATGTATTCTCTATATGTTACTGACTTACTAATACTGGTATTTTCTTATTATTAACTTCCTCTTTCAATATTGGTAACCAGATCCTACTACAATCTGCCGAGGAATTTGCGACACAATTGGCCGCATTTAGCATAATTAAAGCCGCTTCTTTGATTTTTTTTTACCATCCATCTCTTTTAGGACTACATTTGAGTTATTGCATTGATCCCTATGTTCATTATCCCATGCGTGTTTACATAATTGAGATCTATCAAATTCTCTATTTTTAATATAAGATTGATGTTCACATTTAATGGCCTTGATGTTTCACCTAAATAAAACTGATCGCATTCACAAGGTATTTTATAAATGAAATTTTTTATCTTTTCTTGTTCATTGTTAGGTTTGGTTTTGGACAAAATAGATCTCAAAGTGTTTGTTGTTTTGAATGTTGTTGAAATGTTGAATTTATTGCCTATCCTTTTAAGTTTTTCTGATAATCCTTTTATGTACGGTATTGTTATTTTCCTCGTATTATTCCTTGTGTATGTTGTAGGATCTCGTTTTAAGTTGTTCTGTTCTATTCGATCGATTGTTGAAAATTCCTTATTTATAAACGATAAAGGATAATCATTTTTTAATAAAACAGATGTTAACAAATGTTTCTCCTCCAAGAACGAATTTTCGTTAGAACAAGTAATTTTGGCTCTATCGTATAATATTAAATTATATTATATTAAAAATAGAGAGTTTGATAGATGTCAAATATGTAAACACGCATGCGATAATGAACATAGGGTTCAATGGAATAATTCAAATGTAGTCCTAAAAGAGACGGATGGTAAAAAAAGAAAAATCAAAGAAGCGTTTTAGAGAAGAAGAAGTTTTAAAGACGAATTACATGCTATGATTTTTTTCTGATGGATATTCTCAAGATAAAGTTGATTTCATGTAATCGAATGAACTATCTTATAAGTAAAGTCGTCCCAGGACCGCAACTCAACAATATTGGCAATATCATTTTAAAGTCGTCTACTTTAAAATGCATAATGTATGTCTGAATTGTTAATATAAATGAGTCAGATAAAATTAAATTATTAGAAGAATTTTTCACTCTGTAACAAAAAACAAAATTTGTTTAATTTACTGTTTGTATTTTGAGAACGATTTCCGAAGTGGAAATTGAAACGTCAATAAACGTATTTTTATCTTTAATTGTGGCTTATTCCCAGTTAAATAGCAATTAATTTTAAATCCCACAAGAAAATAGCTTCAGAAAAATATTCTACTGAGTGATTTTAATTTAGATTTTTATTTTGTTTATGTTTACCATTTCCGCTTAGAGGTAGTATCATTTTGGCTTTTACTAAATGGTGGTCACTTCCACATTCGGCTCCTCGAAACACTCTTACGTCGTGCACTTTTATTTTAGATTTTTGTTTCATTATTAGCTAATCAATTACTGATCTTAAGTTTCTTGTATTCTGAGTTCATGTATATGTATGTATTTCCTTATGTTTGAAATACCTATTCATGATCCTTAGTGAGTTGTGTCTACACATTTCCATTGAGTTATTGCCATTGTCGTATAAAATAAAAACCCTTAAAAAATAATTAATATCACTCCGTTGGCATAGTGCTAGCATTATTTAAATAACTAAATGGCGTTATTCAATCAAAGGGCTAGCAGTTTAATCGAATGGATAGTTTAAACATCTTGCTGCAACATATATATGAATAAATTATCAATATTAAATATATATATTTACCTTTCATATTTTTACAGCTCCTGAAACGTCGACTTCAAGTGGATCAATTTTGGAATACACTCAAAGAATGTTTTTGATAGGTGTAGCGGCTTTCCTGTTGTATTAATTTAACTACATAATATTTAAACATCTAAATCATAAATGTAGCAAAATTTACGAAAATAATTTTGCCACATTTAAGATAACCGCATATCACTCGAATGTAAAGCAGAACATAAAATATTATTTTCCTTTCCATTATGTATTTTACTAATTTTTTGTATGTCTAATGCGGCAAAATTATTTTAAAGTAAATATAATTACACCATATGTAAATTAAGGAATTCATCACAAGTTCTATCCAGAATTGTCAACCTAATGTGCTTAAATTTTGTTTCTTGAAAAGATCGCCTATTTATTATTCACATTTTATAACATAATTATTTTAATTGTTAAATGAAATGCTGTATATATAAATTTTTACATGGAAATGCTTTTTTTTACCCAATTGTTTCCTCAACTACGAGTTTGTTCTTCCCAATAGACATGAAAACAGGCAGGATTTAGAAAATGAGTTACCAGTGACCACTTGTTAACTGAAAATCCTAGTCGAAAAAGATAATCGTTTCCGATATCCCGATCTATGCATTCTTTGTATACTTTTAGAAAAATTTTGTCAGTGTAAAACACTGGGCTCACTCATAAGGTAGACTACAGAGGAGCAACTGAGCAAAACGTATTAAATCCAAAATGTATGATTTTGAGTTATCGACAAAAAACTAATTGAATTAAATTTTCTTCTTCTTTGAGTGCCTCTCCTATCCGAGATTAGATATCATTAGGGTGATTCTAATTTTATTTACTGCAGTTTTGAATAATTCGTTAATGGTACAGCCAAACCACTCTCTTAAATTTCTAATCCAGGACATTCTTCTACGGCCTGGATTTCTGCGTCCTTGGATTTTTCCTTGCATTATATATTGTAGGAATGTGTACTTTTGTCCTCTTATCAGGTGGTCTTAGTATTCAAGTTTTCTCTTGTTTTATAGTGACTATAACTTCTGGATCGTTATTTATTCTACGTATTACCTCTTCGTTTGTCTTTTTTTTTCTTCTATGTAATCGTTTTTCTTCTCTTCTTAGTGTCCGGTATTCTTCCTTTGCTCTTCTTGTGCATCCAGCTTGATTTGTCTTTAGGTATGCCGTGTTTTTGTTATCTGTTGCTTTTTGGCACTCCTTGTCAAACCGTTCGTTTTCTTTAACTGGTTTGGTTTTCCCCAATATTTTTGTTGCTTTCTCAGTTATTATGTTTTTACATTTTGTCCACAGTTCCTTTACATTTTCCCCCCACTCAGGCTCTCCATTTCCTCGTCCATTTGTCTCCTATACTCTCTCGCAACGGTTTCAATGCGCAGATTATCAACATTAATTCTGTCTTGTTTCTTGTGTTTATCTTTCTTTAGGTTAGATATTCTTCCTCTGATTTTTGCCATTACAAGAAAGTGGTCACTGTCAATGTTTGGGCCTTGGTAGCTTCTGACGTCTATGAGATTGGAAGAGTGCCTTGCATCTATCAGGATGTGATCTATCTGGTTAATGGTTTCGTTATCAGAGATTTTCATGTTCCTTTGTGTATCATTTTATGGGGAAGTCTTGTTCCTCCTACTATCATGTTTTTAGTACTTGCAAAGTTTATTAGTCTCAACCCGTTATTATTTGACTCTTCATGTAAGCTCTCACGTCCTATAACTGGCTGGAGAAATTGCTCTTTGCCAATTTTTGCATTAAGATCCCCAGCAATGATTTTTACGTCATGACGCGGACATCGATCATATTCTTTGTCTAAGGTGTCATAGAATTCATCTTTTTCATTATCCTCCTTTTCTTCCGTAGGTGCGTGTACACTAAGTAAGCTATAATTAAAGAATTTTCCTTTAAGACGTAGATAACATATTCTGTTGTTTATGGGTTTAAAGTTAAGAACTAATTGCTTCGCTTTTTTACTGACTAGAAAACCACTGCCAAACTCGTGTCGGGTTTTTGGCAGGTTGGCAAAAAAAAAGACAATTTGAGCAAAAGCAGTTGGAAAGCACAGAATGGCTAAGAAATCAAAATGAAACTCGAAAGTTCTACAGAAATCTAAACAAAATGCGCAAAGAGTTTAAGCCAAAAATAAGGAGCTGTAAGGATGTAGAAGGAAACATCCTAAATGATACGGCCTTAATCCTACACAGATGGGTTGAATTTTTCGATGCAAAATATAATGGCCATCATATCGAAGAAGCAAATAACACCCTAGCAAATCGAAATGATTAAAATCCTTTTAACCCAAACGAAAGACCACCTACCATCGAAAACGTTGCCCAAGCCATTAAAAAGCTTAAAAATAATAAATCACCAGGAGTTGATCAAATTTGCAGTGAGCTCTACAAGAATGGTGGCGATGCCCTACTACAGACACTGCATAAGCTTTTACTTCTTGTTTGGCATAATGTTTGTGAATGGTCTCAAGGCGTGATATGCCCGTTACATAAAAAGGTGACCAGCTCCAGTGTGAGAACTATAGAGGTATAACCCTGTTAACAACTGCTTACAAAATACTAGCAAATATTCTCTACGAAAGGCTGCAAGTTTACACAGTGGGCATAGTTGGTAAATATCAAGTTGGATTCACTTCAGAAAAATCAACAATTGACCAGATTCATTTAATAAGACAGCTTCTCGAGAAAACCTTAGAATTCAATATTGAAACCCATCACCTATTTGTCGACTTCAGGGCCGCATACGACAGTGTCAAGAGAACGGTGCTATACCAATCAATGCATGAGTATACCAGAGAAACTTATCCGACCAACGAGAATGACAATGTCTAACTTATTAGGAGGCTTGCCTCCTATTTAATATTGCCTTAGAAAAGGCAGTCCGAGATACACGAATTAGGGATGGCGGTACTATTTACAATAGATCGATTACAAGTCTTAGCATATGCTGATGACATTGACATAGTAGGGCGTAGCAAGCGAGATGTTGAGCAATATCTCCTAGAATTGGAAACAGCGGCGAAACAGGTCGGTCTAGTCATCAACGAAGACAAAACCAAGTACATGTTGGTTACAAAGGATCCGATAGCAAATGAGGAGCGAGAAACAGTCTTTGGAAGTCATACCTTTGGACGTGTTGACAACTTCACATACCTTGGGTCGCTATTGACTGCTACCAATAAAACAAGCGAAGAAATCAAAAGACGAATAAATCTTACAAATAGGGCATACTATGGACTCCAAAAGCATTTCCACCCAAGAAACATTCAAAGAAGAACTAAAATTAATATATACAAAACATTGCTGAGGCAGGTCCTCACATATGGAGCAGAAACATGGACTCTAACGCAGAAAGATGAAAGACTTTTGGGAATATTTGAGCGTAAAATACTCCGCAAAATATTTGGAGCTGAAAACGAACAAGGGCAGTGGCGCACAGGATATAATTTTGAATTGTATCAGCTCTTTGATGAGCCAGATGTCATAACGTTCATTAAAACACAGCGACTTAGATGGGCTGGACACATAATACGAATGCCGAAAATGCCATTGCTAAAAAGCTAACCACAGGAACACCTGTAGGAAAAAGAAGCAAAGGCCGACCGCGAATTAGGTGGTTAGATGGAGTAGAAACCGACTTACGAATATTAAAAATCAGAAGATGGCAACATGTTGCCAAAACGAACAGAATGGCGAAGAATCTTAGAGCAGGCCAAGATCCACAGAGGATTTTCGAGCCAAAGATGATGATTACCTCTTCATTTGTAGTTTTATCCACCAACTTATTTTTAGTATACTGCGGGTAGCACCACATCTCAAAGCTTTCAAGATTTTTAACATTCCTCTGTTTAAGAGTCCATGCCTTAACACCGTAAAACAAAGTACTGAATACATAGCATTTTAACATTCTAGTTCGTAGATGAATACTAATATCACGATTACAAAATAATTTTTTCATTTTTATAAAGGTAGACCTGGCAATTTCAATACGTCTTTTTATCTCGTTAATTTGGTCAACTGTTTCATGGATGAAGGTTCCCAAGTATTTGTATTCTCTTACTTTTCCGAGTTGGGTACCGTTTATTGTGATACTAGTGTCATGTATTGGATTCTTACTGAAGGTCATATATTTGTTTTTTTGACGTTCATCCTTATGCCGTAGTTATTACATATCTTATTCATACTTTCAACTTGATGTTGTAGAACTTCCGCTATTGTTGCCATTATCACAGTATCTTCAGCATATCGAATGTTATGGATAACTTCTCCATTGACTATCATCCCTTCGTTTGCATGAGAGAGAGCTTCTTGGCATATCGCTGTAGATATTAAACAAGAGCGGTGATAATATACAACCCTGTCGTATTTTTAGCATTTCTTATTGCGTATTCCACTTCTTCTTTCAACATGTCTGGCCCAGTTGCATTGATTATCTGAGTTAAGTTGTTTCTATCGTATTCAAATAATTCATTCAGGTATTCTGACCATCTTTTTATTTTATTCTCTAGATCTACAATAAGATTTCCATCTTTGTATTTAAGTTTACCTATTTGGCATTTCTTAATGCTTCCTGTTATCTCTTTAACTTTTTTGTGAATATTGAACATATCGTACTTTTTCTCAGTGGTGGCTCGTGGCTTGAGAGACGAGGTCGGCAAGGTATTTTTTGTCTCCTCAGATAGGTGTAATTAAAGACTTCAATCATCATAGAAGGCTTTTTTCTTTAAATTTAGAACCTAAACATGTTTATAAATTAATTCTAGTTTACGTTGTTTGGAAGTAACAAAATGGGTTATAACGTCATCGTAAAATTTATTAGAGTGTTGGAGAGACTTTAAAAGTTTTTTTTTCTATTGATATTTGAGACAAGCTTGACATTCGCTCTTGTTTCATGGTGTTTCGACAAAACGTTTTGAGGCAGACGTTGGTGGTAATAAGAGAATTAATGACAATAATTTATTAATTTCGATAACAGTTTGTTGTAATGAATTGCAGTATATAAAATTATACATATCTTGTAACATATCCCATCTTCCGAAAATATTTGGATTAGCATTAAAACTTTTAATTTATTTTTTAATTTTATTTTGTTAAAGAATGATGGATAATTTTTAATTAACCTGTCTAATATATATCTTAGAAATTCTTTGGCGTAACTTTTAAATTTTGAATCGTCAAAGAGGTCAAAAAATTGCAAAACTTCAAAATTCGAAAAACGAGTATCTATTTGCATTTTCGAGATCTGTTTCTGTGTTATGTCTTTGTCTTTTTGGGGGGGGGGGGGTTCGGAAATATTAAGCGAGTCCAAAACGTCACTGCCTACTGGAAATTACTATCATTACGAAAATCTCTGAGATTTTGCACTAGTTTTGTTATTCTATTTTTGGAATGAATACTATCAGTTTTGAACACTATTGAATATTAAATCGGTTTGGGTAAACTTTCC